TATTGACCGAAGACGGTGGGGTTGTACGGCCCCCCGCTTGATCAACGGGTCCGTCAGCTCCGACAGCCGGCAGTGGCTGAAGAGGCCGACTAGGGGACTGCTGCCGCGGTGACGTACCATCACCGGTGCAGTCCCCCGAGAACTCGGGCTTGTCTGGTGGGATGTACGTCCCTCCATTATCGACACACCCAGTCCTCCCCAACTTCCTAGATTTACTCATTTCCTACTTCACTTTCACTCAAAATACTTCACTAGAACAACTCTACAATAAACACGTTCTCTTTATTTCTTCGAAATAGCTTTCTCTAAACAAAAGAGGTACAAATAAAATAGTGAAATTCAGGTCGATTGAAATTCCACGTTATACCTCGCCTGCGGCTAAGAGAAAAAGAGGACGCTAACGTAGTGCGCATGTCACAGGGCGTTGTGGGTAGGACACGTGAGGGCGCTATTGTGTAAAACTCTTAGCAAATTGCCTGCCGGCATAGGGAACAATGCATATGTAGTATTCGCTCTACAGGTAAGTAGAGTGATGTAGACACAATGTTTTTTCTTTTTTATTAGTTTATTTCATTTATACTGTCGGCCTTAATAGAAAAAAAAATCAAGGCAGTCTGATTATATGAAGAATATAATACATGTACATGAAACAGCCGTTGTAAATAATGCGGGACTTTCCCAGAGCACGAAATCGTAGCTTGGCATGTAGCTGGCACGCAATGATGAGAAATAATCAGCTCCCGATACCGGGGCCGAACAATGCATGCATTGAGTACCTATCAATTCTGGGAACACGATGACTGCCGGCGCTTGTACTTGTTCGCGAACGTACGCAGCAACTTGAGAGGCATCATGTCCAGTGGGAAACTGACACGAATGAGGTGCAGAATTTTGCCTTCTTTGCTGAGCCTTCACATCATAAACGAGGAGCAGAGCTACATATCAAGAACTTGCTGATGTACTTATTTTGCCGAGCAGCAGTACAGACCAACTCTGCAGGAAAACATGACGATTTGCTATGCCTTCCGTTGCCATCACAATTATGCGAATACATATACTTGTCTCGTCTTGTCTTGTGGTACTGCCCAACACCCCTAAATATGGGCCAACCGGGCAGGGTTGCGCTTGATGAAATTGCGAAAGAGACTGAGAGACCGAGTTATTTTTTTTACTGGCTTCAATGTTCATGTATATCAATTATCATACAATTTAAGGTAATCGTGTTTATTGTAATAATTATACTTTAGGACACCCCTTATATTTTATTTCCCTTCATAAATAACATGCCCTATTCCCACAAAATTAAGCCAGCTGATATTCAACATTATCTTGGCGAACTATGAGGACATGTACATGTACTGTGTAGCCAAACGTTTAGGTCCTAAAACAAACATAATAATATAGGAGTCTATTCGTTCTCTTAATGAAACGGAGCCCTTATTAACACACTAATTTAAGCCTTATTTCCTAAAAAGTAATTAAGCATATTAGAATGCACAAACCCTAATGGGAGATTTTGACGAGGAGAAAATTGTAATATGCATGCATTTATAATTTATATTCAAAACCGCCCCTAGCAATACACATTGCAGTTCTAAGCTGTCCGAGTTTAAATGTTAAATGCCTCATTTTGTGACTGGGCAATTTCGCCATCATGTATTTTGTAATCAGTGTATTAAAGATTAAATTGATTTCATTTTTTGTTTAACGACAGGTGTTTAATAGTGTTACATACGCCAATCAGATCCATCAGAATGCAAATCATAGGTCCCCAATAATCCTCCTGTTGAAAAAGTGTAGCATACAAGCCATGAAAATTTAAAGCATTCTCGTAGTTTCCAAAATGACCCAGACAGCATGACATAATAATAAATAAACAATTTCCGGAAAAAAATAATACAAGAATAAAAACTGAGTACCGGTTTTAGGTTTAGTTTTACAATTTCCCAATCCAAAGGCAAATACAGGCCGATCTATTACTGTTGATGTTTTTCAATATAAAATGCTTAAGTGAATAATAGTCAAAGGAGTGGAAATACGCAACAGAGTAGAGCTGAATGGGTCTCCATGGGTCTCGCGAAGCACTGTGCCTTTTTAACACCAGCATTCTCTGAATTTAACCCTTCCAACTGCACATTCTCAGTCTGTTCCAGACAGGGACTGCAGCGTTGATGAAAGTTGGCTGATTTACGACATAAAAAAATGCACAATTAGACATTTTAACAAAACTAATTAATGAGCAGGCAAAATCCCCCCCCCCCCCCAATTTAAAAACATCGAACAGAAGGACATTTGGTTATTTCAGCGTCATCAAATCACCCGAACACAGTGAAGAAGAAAAAAAAAGATGAATCACAATATACCTACCGATAACTTAGTTATGGTAAATTAATTACAAAAATACTTTAGAATTTCATGGCGAGTAGAATCCATATTATATTGAAGCAGGGATCAAGACGGCAGCAGAGCCAGCCTAAAGCATCCTTTAAAATTATGGCACCTGGTGTCAAGTCATTTTCAAGAAAATTGTATTTTTGTATACATTTCCAACGGTGGTCAGCCGACCACCGTTGGAAAAACCTAACTATTTTTCAACTACTACTCCAAATTACAATTTTTTTCAGTCCAAAATTTGTTTGCTATTGGTTACATGTTCATGAACGGGTGCAGGCCAGCTAGACTGGTTCCCTTACCTTACAATTTTCTGACATCCATAAATTGATTCATTTTATCTTTTGTGGAGTCAGGGAACCAGACTACTTAAACATTTTTGTTTTTCTTGGTTTTTCAAGCATTTTCGTAACACAAAACTTCAAACATGTCAGTTAAACAATATCTGATCTATTATACTAACCCCTCAAACAGTTCATTTCTGAAAATTGCAGCAAAAGCCAATGATGTACATGTATATTCCCTTTAAGCATGCTGCATGGCAGCAGCTGCACTAGTATCACGATGGAGGAATCCTCCATGGTATCACGTACGGCCAGTCGCAAGCGTCTAAGACAGCTTTCACCGTACTTTTTATTGCTCAGTTTTGGTTTCGGTTTGTTAATAACTTTATTAATTGATAATTCATTTCAGCAACACATGTCTTCTTGTACCAGTACATTAAATACACATGTGAATCTTATTTTTATTCTTCAAGGCTCGGCGTATAAGCCGCCCTGCGTATAAGCTGCATTAAACATTTTCATGGGCAAAATCAACGATAAGCCGCGGCTTATATTCCGAAAATTACGGTACATGAAATGCATGCACCACCTGAAGAAAACGGACACAACGGAGAGTCCGCATGAACTTTTCACGTGCGTGCGCTCGGAAAGGTGAAACTTGAACTCTTCGCATTATTATTTTTACATTTCGTGCTTCTCATGCATCGCAGTTGCTTGCAATTTTCTTTCGGTGCATTGCCGCTGTTATTTATTATATTATTATTAATAATATCGATACCAAACATTCGTACCGATATGTCGTATCGTGAACGAATGTATCGCGATGCACCGATGTATCGATGTATCGTTTCAGCCTTAACAGTAAACAGCCGCCGGTAACTCCAAATGATGCCTGGCGTGAAAAGGGTATTGCTGGTTTGGCTTCTTGCCAAAACAAGAGCGTGGGAACTTGTCTAGCACAAGACAGACAGGTAGATCGTCATGACGACGAAATGTCACCACCAATGCGATGCTGTGAATACGTTCCCGCCAAACTGGAGTTAACTGGCAGGCAATAAGACTCGCCCTAACATCCCATGTATATAGGCATAACCATAGTAACATTATTGTCAAGGATATCTAGTGACGTGTGTCGGCTTCGTAAATATTCATGATACAGTTTCTAAACTGCATGGTGGAAGTTGATTACCCGTTCTCTTCAGTTTATTGCTATTACATTTTCTTTCCAATTCTGTAACAAAATTTTCATATGTATTTTTGGAGAAACAGGAAATGATTTATTCCATCCTAATTGGACGCTTTGTAATATTCCTCTAAAATAACGGTTGATGTTTTAATTGCTTTTGCGGTCATTACACATAAGAGTGAATGATTTTTCGGCTCTAACATTTGGTCTGGGTGCAATAAAATAAAATTTATATTGAAACCTCCTTCTAAAGTGGATTTGTTTTATATTGCTATAAAAAAAAAGGCATTTCAAAAAAGACGGAAGTATTTATTTTCGAGGAGAAACTCTGAGCACGGCCGGGGGGATCGAGAGCAACTTGAAGTTGTTTTATTGATAAACGTATTAGGCCCGATGGATTCTTCACTAATTCTACATTACGAAAGAAAAATAGAAAGGACTACATGCAGACAACATCTCCAATAAATAAGTTCTATAGAATGCAGAAATCAGAAGCCATGGATAGTACACTTTTCCGTATCACGACAATCGGTCTTAATTATATAAAAAAAAGTGCAATTCATATCCAAATAATTTAATTAGATCGTATTTTGAGGGAAAATGCTTCCTGACAATACAATTTTGCAGTCTTTGGAATTGATGAATACTGCAGGGTTAAAATATTGCCCAAGCCAGGGTCAAAAAAACATGCAGTGTGGAATTTTCTTTCTGATTTCACGAAGTTGATTTCCACTTGTCAACATTTAACAAACGATGTGTCGGAAATTTGCCACCTATCAAAAAACAAATTTCAGGAAAATAATCGGGAATACAGCGCCTTGCTCCTGGTTTAATAACAAATACTGCCGACGCAACAAAGCCTGAATATTACCGGAGCACTGAACAGTAGCTGGTTACGCGAACTCCGCGTACGATAGGTTCGCGCACTTCGCGAACTCAGCGGCTGTAGCATATTGGCGCATTGCCATGCGATGCAAATGAACCTGGAGAGCTTGACGTTTACTCCTAACTTGGGATCAAAATTAGTTCGCGAACCTCCGCTGACCTCGCGAACAGTAATTTTTTAAGCTTGCCCTAAATGCAACGTAATTGTAAATGTTGCATTTAATCTGTAAAATGTTATATATCTATATACTTACCCCATTTAGTTCCACTTCGCTGTCTGACATGACGGATCGTATTGACTGATGTGTAATGCGAGTACGACGTACACGACCATCACCACAGGTGGAACTACTGTCACTCTCATTCCCTAGTGTGTCTGTGCTGTTGTAGCTCACTAATGTACTTGCTTCAGATAACTCAGAATCTAAGCTGGAGATTTTCTCTGAGAACTTTTCTCTGCGTTCAATGATCTCTCTTGGTTCCATGCTTTTACTGTTGTCTGGAATGACATCGGTGTCATCTTTCTTCGCTTGGAATGTGATTCCTTCATCTATGCTGCTGCTATTGTTGTTGTTGACCATGTCTTTGATGCATGGTGCATGTTCGTCTTCTGAATGGAGTGTTTTGTTGTCACTGTGCTCTCCTGGATACTCAACGTCCACCTTGGACCCTATTGCACCTAAAGAATAGGACACATAAGATACATGTATTATTCTGACAACAATTATAAGGTGTCAACTAATGCTACTTCACCTATTAAATAAATGTCCTTCACATAACCATTGATAATCTAAACAAGCGGTCTTACCAATGTGAAACGTGTGTTTAAGTTCACGACAAAAAAGTGACTAGTATACAAATATCAAGTGGCTCAGTGTGGAATGGGAGGAATATTATTGCAAGGTAAAACCTGGACTTTTTCATTTCACGAGGCAAAGCCGAGTGAACTGGAAAAGTCCAGATTTTATCGAGCGATAATATTCCTCCCATTTTGCAATTTAAAGCCACTCAATATTTGTTTTATATAACTGACATATAGATCCTTGTCATTTGATATATTTGAACTTTTTTTTTCAATACACAACTGAAGGAAAATCCATTTCTCTCTTTCGAACCACCCCTTCACGAAAATGTTTGAACCTAACGCTGGAGCGCTGGCTCTTTGGAACAATACGCGCTACGCGCAACGCTGAACGCGCACACCAGCATTCATTTGCACACAAATACCACATCATGATCCTAACTGTTGAATAGTATTTCCCATTCCCCATGGGCGGATAGTACTTTTTGAGCCGCGGCGTGAATGGGAGCAATAACGAATGTCATGTGATGTGAGTTCCACCAATCAAATGACTAGGATCTGTATGTCAGTTATATAATAACTGAAGCACGCTGTATCCAAATTGCCAACAAGCCCCTCCCCTCCAAGTTAAGTCAAGGTCCACACGAAAGTCCACACATCTTCCAGCGTGTAGAGCGATATCAACAGCCTTGAAACCAAAGCTCACCACTCATCAACTCAAATAGCAAGGAGCTGATATCCATCAAACAAACTCTCTGACTCCCTTAGCCCGACACACTTCTCAACACTGTCTTCTTGCTCAGGTACTCTGAAATTCTCCAGTTTTGCAAAACTAAATTATTGCAACGATGTAAACAATTAGGAGTAACAATACATTAAAGATTGATTTTTGCAGGTGTTTTAAATGACTCCACAGTCTAACACATTGAAATTTAGCACCAAAAGAATATGGACAAAAATACACCTTTACGAAATGGCTGGAGAGGTTCATACTTGTTCCCAGACGGAACAGACCTTGAGTGCAGGAAAACATGCAAAACAAATAGGGGCCAACTTTACTCTCCCTTAAGCAGACAAAATTCTCCAAAATTTGTGTGAGGCAAAGACAAGGTCCTCAGTATTTCACCAGCCAAGTTTGAAGTCTCAACTCAATTGTTTAGGAGACCTTTCTTCAATATTTTGCATTTAAGAGTGAAAAATGGCAGCTCCATCATGAGCGACACATTCTGGCACCTGAAGGTGAGCTCTGTCTTCCACCTTGGAAAACCATCAGCTAACAAAAATGAACCAATCCCCAGTGTACCTTTGTGTTGTGCTTGGACGCAGCCTCACAATGTCAAAAAGGCTGCTATTAAGATTGTGTCAACCTCCTACAGAAGCTTACAGAGATTGGGTTGCTACGCTCTCTACATTGTCCACGTAAGCCTTGGCCTTGGTCTACTTCACCAACAAATATTCTACTGCATCAAAATCAATGTTGCCATGCGTGTACTTGGTCTCAGGGGCAAACAGCCATTACACCAATGGCACTTCTACTCCATGCATATTACTCTTAATTATGTGACAATAAAGTTCAATCCAGATTGAACAGTAGCAGTTTGCACCACATCAGCAAAAGCCATCTTTGATGATTGACTGATGGTAGGAGGAATGGATTAAGAGGTGACATCAATTGAGACATCCATACTGCAAGCCAGCTGGCTTCCAACTGACATACTGTAACAAACAGCCTGCTGAATAACTTTGTAGTGGTTTTAAGCACCAACATTCTTGCCCCAGTTACTTCTCCCAAACAACAAAACTTCCATGCTTTCAATTATTTTACTGACCTGCACCCGATTTCATGAAATTCATTGTAACTTACAATGCATCGCAGCACTGTGATGCGTCGTATCCCTACAATGCGTCGCAGGAAAGCTTTCCGCATAATTTTCCCTGAGTATTGTAGGAATCACCTCTTATCAGCATATTTGTCAAGTTCATCACATCCCGCCTATGTCTGAAAGGCTGGAATTGCTTTGTTTAATTTTGGTAGTAATGTCTTAAATTCCCATGTTCATAGAGATTGGCTACCTTCGATAGAGATAATAACCTCAGAAATTCCCATAAACTTTCCAGTATCAGATGCAGAACCAATCGGTATAAAAACAGTCCCATCCCATTTTTAACCTCAGTTTTAAACAATCAGTAGTTTTTTTTATATATACTTGGCAGGTTTTTTTTCTTTCTTGCCAACCAGTTATTCGGTCTTTGTGCGTGCTCGGTCCAAAATGTTTAACTGTCATTGTAATAACTGTAATTCCATTTGTCTTGTCCTTTGCATGTCATGTTTTTGAATTGTAAGCTTGCATGTTTACGTGTGACATTAATGTTATTTATTGTTAATTTCATTGTTTTGAAATGATATGGTTTTTTAATTAATATTGTGATTTTGTGAGGGGAGGCACAATTCAGCCTCTGGCTGCAATGTCTCTTTTTTGTATCATTGATCAAATAAATAAACCATTAATAATAATAGCTGCGACGCGTCCTGCGATCCATTTCACAAAACAGGTCGTACGTGCGACGCGTCGTAGGCGTATGTATAGCACAATTCGGTGACTATTTTATGTATTTATTCAGTGTACAGTAAATAGTCGTCTGATATTCAACAAAGAGTTGTTGTATCTCCTCTCGAAAAGATTTAAAAACGTAAAACGAAATGGCGGATGTGTGATGCGATTTTAAAGGAAAACAAGCTCTTGATGGACTGTTTAGCTGCTTTGAAATTTCAACTGCAATATTCCACACTAATTCATAATTATTCGATGCATTTTCTATTTACGACTTTATACTCGGACTAACTAATGAATGAAACTCAAAGACAATTTTTTTGTGCATCTTCGCCACAGCTTCAAGTTATTTATTTCAAACTTTGTTCGTTCGCCAGATACCGAATTGATATGGGCAAGCTGGCATCAAGTCATAGGGCTAGCAGGCCCGAAAGAAACATGTTAAACATATAATGGACTCCCAGGTCCCGTACATGTACGTCAATTATCAATTTGGCTCCCAGGCCAACCATTAATGAATGGGCACACATATGACCCAGTCCACATCTGTGGGGGACAGCCATGGCTGCGCTATGGAAATACAGCACATCCGGCCCCTGGGGTACGTAAGGGCGAGTGTGGCTGCCCCTTACAAAGTTCAAATCGCATTGTATTACTAAAAACATTAATATCAGTAACAATATCAGCAACAATATCAGTAACATGCCCATAAAACTAATGCTACATGTAAATTCATGTGTGTACATGTACATGTATTAGGCATGGGCTGTCTTCGAATCCTGTTAAAGACGCCACAAGTGCACAGCACACCCCAGGAAGAAGACCACACTAAACAAGAACATATTTACAATCTCCCCATCACTGCACTGAACTTAATTCCCTTGACACTGAATGTGTGATGCAATGCAGGAGACATAATCAGACAGCAGTAACTTCGTTCCCATATTACTGAGGTGAACCCCATCATACAAAAACAGAGCATGATTTGTCCTCTAAATCTCATCATGGGGTAAAAATGAAGCCCAAAACAGCCTTCAACGAGATCGCGTCCACCTGTTAATTGATCGGCGGACCTGGTCCATGGCTTTTTGATCCTTTGCTCCAAAGTAAAACAGGCGTGGCAGAATAGCTGACCAAACCAATGTGGTATGGGGGAAACTTTGACGACAAAGTTGCATGAAATATGCAATACGCTGCCTAATCTGAAACATGTCTGCGCTGACCATGTCATTAGTACCGATCCATGTCATTAGTACTGATATGAACTCTTTCTCAGTAGCTTGAGCTAAATGAATTACTTGGGGGGACAGGAGTGATTGGTCTTACTACATCAGAAAGGTAATTTCAACCGAATGGCCTGCCAGTTGAGTACAGCAGAAATGAATGCCCCCTATTTGAAGGACTGCGCCGCAAGATGCAAGTCCTTATTGCTAGTGGTTACAGCCCCTGCACATTGAAAATTACTACGGCACACATATACACCGTGACTGCCCTGGTAACACCTCCTGCAGAAAACTGCATCCCTTAAAATGACATCCCTTATAACTATTAAATGCGAAACAAAGGCCCTGTTTTGGAATCAGGGGCCCACAGGAATTGGAACTACTGCAAAGGGGTGTTAAGGTTGCTTGTTACAGCTGCAACAATGCATCAGTGTCAACAATGCCCAAAGAAGGCAGTACAAGTGGGGGCAGCAGGAGGCATTACAGTGGGGGAAGCAGGAGGCAGCACAGAGGGGGAAGCAGGAGGCAGCACAGTGCAGGCATGCAACTGGGAAATCAAAAAAAAAAGAGGAAATTCAAATTTTTCCCAGACTTTGTACTATGTGTTTCTATTTTCAATGGCACACATGGGAAGTAAAAAAAAAAAGGAAATCAGCTGATCTGAGGAAAAGTTGCATGCCTGACAGTGGGGGCAGCAGGAGGCATCACAGTGGGGCAGCAGGAGGCATCACAGTGGGGGCAGCAGGAGGCAGCACAGTGGGGGCAGCAGGTGGCAGCCCAGTGGGAGAAGCAGGAGGCAGCACAGTTGGGGCAGCAGGAGGCAGCACAGTGGGAGAAGCAGGAGGCAGCACAGTGGGGGCAGCAGGAAGCAGTACAGTGGGAGAAGCAGGAGGCAGCACAGTGGGGGCAGCAGGAGGCAGCACAGTGGGAGAAGCAGGAGGCAGCACAGTGGGGGCAGCAGGTGGCAGCACAGTGGGAGAAGCAGGAGGCAGCACAGTGGGGGCAGCAGGAGGCAACACAGTGGGAGAAGCAGGAGGCAGCACAGAGGGGGCAGCAGGAGGCAGCACAGTGAGGGCAGCAGGAGGCAACATAGTGGGGGCAGCAGGAGGCAACATAGTGGGGGCAGCAGGTGGCAGCACAGTGGGAGAAGCAGGAGGCAGCACAGTTGGGGCAGCAGGAGGCAGTACAGTGGGAGAAGCAGGAGGCAGCACAGTGGGGGCAGCAGGAGGCAGTACAGTGGCAGAAGCAGGAGGCAGCACAGTTGGGGCAGCAAGAGGCAGTACAGTGGGAGAAGCAGGAGGCAGCACAGTGGGGGCACCAGGAGGCAGTACAGTGGGAGAAGCAGGAGACAGCACAGTGGGGGCAGCAGGAGGCAGTACAGTGGGAGAAGCAGGAGGCAGCACAGTGGGGGCAGCAGGAGGAAGCACAGTGGGGGCAGCAGCAGGCAGCACAGAGGGGGCATCGGGAGGCAGCACAGTGGGGGCAGCAGGAGGCAGTACAGTGGGGGCAGCAGGAGGCAGCACAGTGGGGGCAGCAGGAGGCAGCACAGAGGGGGTAGCAGGAGGCAGCACAGAGGGGGTAGCAGGAGGCAGCACAGTGGGGGCAGCAGGGGGCAGCACAGTGGGGGCAGCAGGAGACAACACAGTGGGGGAAGCAGGAGGCAGCACAGTGAAGGCAGCAGGAGGCAGCACAGTGGGGGCAGCAGGAGGCAGCACAGTGGTGGCATCAGGGGGCAGCACAGTGGGGGCAGCAGGAGGTAGGACAGTAGGGGCAGCAGGAGGCAGCACAGTTGGGGCAGCAAGAGGCAGTACAGTGGGAGAAGCAGGAGGCAGCACAGTGGGGGCAGCAGGAGGCAGTACAGTGGGAGAAGCAGGAGGCAGCACAGTTGGGGCAGCAGGAGGCAGTACAGTGGGAGAAGCAGGAGGCAGCACAGTGAGGGCAGCAGGATGCAGCACAGTGGGGGCAGCAGGAGGCAACACAGTGGGGGCAGTAGGAGGCAGTACAGTGGGGGCAGCAGGAGGCAGCACAGTTGGGGCAGCAGGAGGCAGTACAGTGGGGGAAGCAGGAGGCAGCACAGTGAAGGCAGCAGGAGGCAACACAGTGGGGGCAGCAGGAGGCAGCACAACGGGGGCAGCGGGAGGCAGCACAGTGGGTGATGTGGTCATCACTGAAGCAGCCACGGTATTAGCAGGAAGAATACTTGAAAGGATCCGGGCCTTTGCTTTTGATGATCGACGTACCGATTTCCGTGTCATCTTAGCCCCATTAGGCTTAGCGGATTCAACTACCCTTCTTTGTCGAGGCATTGCTTTTCTGACTCGAGATTTCTGCTTGGGATGAAAAAGGTGCTGGAATTTAATACCTTACGGAGACATGAACACAATAGGGAACAAAAGATTGTATACGTCTCCAGAAGAACATTTCTATAGATGAATACGTCTCCACAAGAATTTCACGAAATAGATATATGGATTTTACTCAAAACTAGGAATTTCCAAGGTAGGTTGATCTGTCGCAAATGGAAGAGTTTTAGAAAAGGGATATTTAGTCCAAATTTCAGCTCAGGAAATTAATTCTGGTTAAAATAAGAGCATTTTGAAACTTCAATTTCACACTCGAAAACTTTACTACACGAGAACAAAGAAATGTCTCCACAAGGATACAAATTCCAGAATGGGTGTTGTAACACAATTGTGTGTGTCCCTGCGACTTCATTGTACAGACTAAAGTTGGTGAACTTAAGCAGTCAATCCCGAAGAACTCTGCTAGCAAATCACAGCAATAACAGGCAATAAATTAGCCAGTTAGAGTTACTGCAATTCAAGAAAAAAATCCAAGGCTGAACAACTGAAGACTATGCACATCACCTGATGCAGCTTCACCATACATGCCATAGGTCTAGTACCGTATTCCATAGAGCATGAAACTGCAATTCCAGTCAAAATATGCTCCAACAGGCAAGGCCAAATCACTGCAATTCCAATGAGATTATTACTCCAAAATCAGCCAAATAAATCCCATTGCTTAGGCAGCAGAGATCCAGTCAGCTAAATTCCACGAAAATGTATTCCACAGTGAAAATATCAGCCAGCATATTCCCAGAAATGAAATTTATCCAGCTTGCACAAAAAGCTGTGACAGAATGAGACACACACACACACACACGTGCATTTTCCCTCCTACACTTTAGCACTGTGTTCTACAACTGTGTCCTGATTGGTCCAATCTTGGAAATGGTTTAACATAATTGGTTAAAACTCCCTGCTGTGATTGGTCAAAACTATTAGTGCCAGGATCCTTCTCAGAATCCTTCTCAGGATCCCAGCTTTTGGAGAAAAGTCAATTTTGCAGGTATTTAAAGGGATACAAAAAAATATTTTTTTGTTAAAGATTTTGTGTGTGTTGTAATAGAGCATTTTATACACCTCACATTATTAAGCTGTTAGAATTTACACACTGGCCCTCATGGCAGTGTTAATTGCAAAATAAGCTGGTTGAAACCATGAGTAGCAGTAAACACATGTTTCCCCAAGTATAATGAATTTTGTCAAAATACATGCATTGTGACAAAATTTCTTACACACATTGTCTCGGTATTATAGTTTTGTTTATGTATTTTTTTATGGCATAAAAATGGCTAAGAAAAGACCGCTTCTTATTATGCGATGACCACTAGACACGTCTAAATTGCGACGTGTTTTAAGCCGATGTCAAGGAACTTACGACGCTTTCAACACATCGCAGGTTTCGAGAAATGGATTATACGACGTGTCGCGAGTTGCGACATTTTACACGTCGTAACTCCGGTTGCGACGTGTCGCAGTGCTTCATGAAATTGGGTGCAGGTCATGCAGGCTCTGGCAGGCCACTACTAGGGCAGAAATAGTTTTCTTTGTTTGTGCATATGTCCCATTACTTTCAAGCAGGGTAGAGACCAAGTATAAAAGTCTGCTGCTTGTGGTTGAGGTGTGGTCATTTTTAGCTGTTCAGCAGGTCGGAGGCACATTTGGGACCTGCCAGACAACTCTACAGACTTTACAGCCTACATTGGGCAATCCAGATTTGTACAGACGACCATTTTGCTCTGGAGCTCGTATTCTCAAAAATGTAAACCCTCCATCGTACATAAACAGCTTTATGACAAAAGTAAACACTGTTCGGTGTATGTAGAGCAAAATCCCAATGCAAGAATTAAGCATCACTCACAACCTAGCAATATTAACAAACACTACATCTAACATGCAAAAAAAACTTCCATCATACCTGAACAGCCCAGTGACAGAATCTAGCATTCATAAATACCTCAGACAGTTTAGCTATTCCTATTGGTCGAGAGCCCGTCACGTGGCCGGTCTTAAACGGATGATAAAGACATGGCTAGCTGGTCTTAAACACTTTTCCAGTGTCACAATAAAATGTGGACTCCTAAAAATCCAGTGCCTCTTACCGTTTCATTGGTTCAACGTTCACAATCCTCACGTAGGTATGCGCAACACTACCAGGGAGTCAGAATTTTATAGTTCTAAATTCAAAACGCAACGCCCCAGGTGCGTTCAGGGCGACATCGCGCAGAACATGCTACGCGCACGTCAATCGCCATAAAAGGGTTGTTTACATCTTACTCGCAAGCTGAACACTCCATTATTTTGCCAGAGGGATGTTTCAAAAAGCATGAAGTGAACTTGTTGAACAAAATCGGGATTTTTTGAACGAATTATTTGATATTTTTTAACCGAAAAGGTATTTATGAATGGAAATAAATATGTGCTCGGTCGGTATTTATCACTCCGTTTAAGACCGCTTAGAGTCTGGGTGCTGATAATTACCCTCGCCTCCGGCTCGGGTAATTATCAGCACCCAGACTCTAAGCGGTCTTAAACGGAGTGATAAAAACCTCTCGAGCACACATTTATTCCCTTAGTATTGACAAACACTCGACAAGGGTTGACTATAGAATGCAAAATGTTACCTGTTACAGCAACTCCTGCCGCTATACCAACAGCTCCATGCACCCCGGCACCTGTGCTTCCACCCACACTCACTTCAGACATGTCAATTAATTCATAGGCACTGTCATTACGATTATCTTCCACCAGAGGAGAATTCACTGTGGATGCAGTAAGTGTACAAGAATTGGCATTAAGCCCAATCAGGATGATTTCCATGATTTGTGAGTATACATGGCCAAGCCAAACCTATTATAAACCCAGTCAAAACCATATGTGATTTTGGTATAATTTAGGGCAAATTTCTGGTTTATAACACTTGAGGCCTACATGATTAGTATTTTAGTTTTCAAACTAACGGTACTTATACTGCACAAGTGATACAAAGAGCAATAAAATGCTGATATGCTGCATGGTGGGTAATTTAACACAAAACAATAACACACCTTAGGTTTGACTACTTTCCCGCTTTCTACTTTTGCTTTAGCCTCCCACTCTCACCCATCATACCCCTATGCAAGATGTATAGCAATCCCCCAGGCAGGTACGTATCTTTTGTTTAAGTCAAAAAAAAGTCTCCGGTTTCTGGTATGGAGCTTGCCCCAAAAGTGGTGCGGCGACGCGTTTTTTTTTTCCCTACTTTTTTCTTCTTCCCTACTTTTTTCTTCTTCAAATGTCGGCTGATGTTGCAGATGATGCTTTGATCCTTCAGAGTGGAGTTTGAGGTGACTATAGTAAGGTCATAAGGCTTGAGAATTCTGCACTCTTTTATGATCTCAAAATGTGGATAGTCAAGACAAAAATCAGAGAAAACGGTAGTAACATTAGACCATACAGCGACATCGACATTGTGCATGAGCTGCCAGGCTGGTCATTAGTCTGCTCCCTTACATATTGCCCTAATTAAAAAGTGTTTACAGGTTCAAGATACACGACCATTGCTCCCTCAGTCTGGCTTCCAGATGCACCATTACAAAATTACAACACCATCTGCAAATGGTGCCCGACTAAATTTAGTGAAAAATATACGAGTCCAGAGAGGCCACATAAAGCTTATACTCGATCGTAACCCCATCTAAAAACATGTTAAAATTGTGCAGCAGCAGGATTCCAGTCAAACCAGTGAGTTTGGCTGTTTTGAGACATCATTATATATAGAATTTTTTTTTTTTTTTTTTTTTGCCGATGCGCGCCCAGACCGGAGACTTTTGGGGGGGGGGCCCTTATCCAACCTCCAAGGAATTTTGAAAAAGTGCCCCAGGTTCTTTGCCTTGGCACTGCAGGAAAAAACTTTTACCACAGAAGGTTTAATCTAGTGCCATAGTGCTTTTACCTGGTTATCCCAATTCCTGTGACCATCACCAAGCCTTACCTCTTTAGTTTTTCCCAACACACATTTATTTCTGGTAAACAAAATTCCTCTTTAACAAGTGATATATTGCCTTCAAATGTTAACCATTATGTTGCACTGAGATATAATTGAAAGCACCGTACGAATTCAAAAGATGGATGAAACTAATTTAGTAAAAACTACTTTTGAAGACAGATTGGATTATCTTCCCCAAAACCTGAGGTATTGTGTAAGTCTTGAATGGTGTCATTTCTTACCTCTGATTGCGCCTTCTTCTGTGCTTGTACTGCTGCTACTCACTACAGAACCTCTTTTCTCCCAACCTTTAAAAGAAAATGTATTTATCTATAAATCAGGTTTGTTTATCTCACAAACATTGTTTCACAAACACTAAAGCACTAGTTCATAATTAGTTGTTTAGTGCACATGAAAGGGACTGTTAATATGCTTTTGTGCTGAACCCACACACTGGATGAAGTCTATCTGTGTTTGCATATCTCCTCTTCAGACAAACATGTATGTACATGTATAATATACTGTCTGAAGAAAGCAAGACAGAGGGAACGAAAGATCTCTTGTTTTCCTTAAAAATGTATTCTTCTGTTGAGAATGCTCCTCATGGATTGTGTGCTTTTAGGAGAGTGTTATATGAACAAAAAGAAATAAAATGCCTCGTCTTCCTATGTATACATGTAATGGTAATGTACAACTGTGTGTCTGTACTGTACATGTAATGTGTGTGTTAAATAAAAACAAAAATTGAAGAGGGAAAAAAAGGCTGTCCAAAGGGGAAGTTATATGATGAACACCATCAAACCAACCTGTGTCTAACCATATGATATGATCAAACCTGTTTTATTAGATATATCAGGGGTTCACCGCTGTTCCAGAGGCTCACAGCGCGACATTAGGTTTATGCGCATGTGCCAGTTTTTCTGGGTTGTTTTGTAAAATTAATATTCATGAGCATGTTCGTAAAAACAAATCGCTGAGAACGGCCTTCCAAAAAACTGCTCATAATGCAAGAAATAGTTATTGAAGCCATAAGATTTGTCCGAATATAGGTTAAAAAATGAATAACTTGAGCATCTCCATCTAAGATTTTAAATGCCATGTCGTTATTTTCACGAAAAAAAAACCTCCGAAAGCCAGCAACCAGCAAAAAAAAGTGTCCAAAATAAAACTTTTTTCTGTAATCAAGTAAATAAGTTTGAATTAAGACTGCCACGAAAACATCAATGAGACTTTATATTTTGTATTAATGGTGATTTCAAAAGAGAAAACCCCCAAACTCGCCTGCAAATGAGGGGATTCCCTGGTGGGTTTACTGAACACTGACTGTGGTTTTCGCGATTCAACAGCACAGTAAGCGGGGTTCGCGATTCAAACAAGTAGGCCTACCACGCCAACGCGTGATTGGCCGGTGCCCCGCGAGTATACATTTCCAGCGAGGGGGATGTACGCTAGTGCCTGCTATTGGATTTATGCACATATGGTGCCGTTTGTTTACATTCAGTGTACCGGGTATGTATTAAATAGCTACGTACGTGGCTCCATCGAGGTTTTCTCTCTCAAGTCTTCAACAGTAATATTCTCCTTTAAGTAGTCTTTCCAATGGTAATTTACTTGATTCGGAATGAACTTACCCAGATGACGAAAAATCCCACGAAACCTGAATGTTATTTTCCTTCCAATTGAGACATTTATGAACATCGATAAAAATGAAAGGTAATTTTTTGAAGGAGTTTTCTAATCAAATGTCTTGCCGAAAAATTCACAGTCTATCTGACAAAAAATAATTGTCCTTTTTCTGTCAATTTATTGTAATATATCTATTGTAATATATTTATTGTAATATAAAAAAGCGATTGAAAAGACGTCCTCCGGTGAGCTGTTTTTACGCAAAACAAGACTGGAGAAATTCAGTCATAAGAGGGCGTTTCATACGAACTAAAGCATAGACATGCACACAAACCTAATGTTGCCCTGAAAACAGCGGTGGGTTATGGGGGTACAATGAACAAAAACAACAATACAACTCCACAAGGAAATCTCCGTACCCTAAATAATATGCTACATAGTTGAAGGCTTCAATAGAAAAAAAAAGAATAGAAGTCGGGACGTAAAGGTTCATAACTAGAGGTTCGTGTTTGTTGAGTTACAAATGCAGAGTGGTCAGGCAGACAATTATTTCATTAAAAAAAATGCAGTCTGATGACATCATGATTTTGAAAACTTGCAAAAATATCTGTGGTTAATCAAAAAATATTAAGGGGCGATTTAGTAAAATATGGACGGATGATTTTCGAATTTAAAAAAAAACAAGTTCTATTAGAGGGCGCTCTTTCAGATGATGACATCATCATACTGGGTTTTTTTTGTATCTGGCATTCCTCACTTAGCAGTTCCATATACATGTAGTAAAATGCTTCTGTTTTAGAGTTAGATTCAATTTTTATTGCACTTCTGGTAACACCGGTTTTGTGCCAGGAATAAGAAAAAAATTTGATTTTAGATGCTCTGTGGTGCAATCTGAGGCAATTACTGGGCACTTTCCTCTGAAATTTTGGAGCAGAATTTGTTTTAATTTTAAGAAGAATTTTGCTTCATTTGTTAAAATGTGCTCTTGTTCTTATAAAGTTTCTTCTGTACTCAAAAGTTGAGAACCATGCATTTTCATGTTACTTTGCTGTATTTGCCATGCTTTGATGTGCTTTGGGTGTTTCACATGGGACACGAGCGATTTTTTTCCACTCCATGCGTAGTTTATAATGTCATTGCAAAAAGGCATTGCCAAAAACCTTGCCAGTGGTTGCTATTTTATTGAAACACTCTTGAAATTCATGCTGATGCCCGTCAATAATAACAGAGTCCCGAAACCATTCCCACCGGAACTTATTTTTCACTTCTTTATCAAGCTCTCGCACTTATAAATCTCCTTGCAACAGGATCGACTTGTTGGGCGCAGCTATGTTGGAAGCATATGTACACAAACACTCTGAGCCGACGCACGTAAAACAATGTGCATAATCCACATGACTGTACTGTAATGTATGCCATTGTGCACGCTGAGTAATATTAGTCAGTACACCTGACCAGCGCAACACATGCATCTCGAATACCGACACAGGAACTACACCTAAATAATCACAACTTCGGACCCGAGCGAAAAATCACATGATCGCACTAACGGCAACGCATGGTCTTCAACTTCGTTCTCACATTGGGTATTCAATATGTGCGTGCGTAAGATACATGTATATCGATCAACGAAGTAATGTCTGTCGGATATTTCGGCAAGCAAAACTCATGAATAATTAATTAGCACATTCTACCCCCCTATTTTCTCAACGGATTCACATGATTCACGTTGGTTGACATTTGAAGCCAAAAAAAAAAACACGGATTTGTGGGGGAAAAAAAATGGAGAAATCATATCCCTGCTTAATGTATATGTGCTTTACAAATTCGTCTTTTTGATGACGTCATCATGACGTCACAAATAATTCCAAATTATGTGCATATACCAATTGCTGAACAAACCTAATACGAAAGGAATTATGAATTTAGCACAATGCGTTCGTGAGATATGGCTTGAGGGTCCAAAACTTCAAAACAATCCTTAAAAAACTGGGCCTTTTTTGTGTTATTCTTGTGCGAAAATGAATTTTGGGGTCCAATTTTGTGACCCCCAAAATCAGACTGTTCAGGGCTAGTTGTGATTCCAGCCGTAAAGTGTAGCCTTTTGCGGATGTATAAGAAACCACATTTGTGCAATGGTTCCACGTGTAATTTATGTGACATACACAATTGTGTCGTACATTGGATAAAAATGACAGGAAAAACGTATGCGTACTCAGTCGTGTCTGATGTAGCAACCAATTTTTTTCCCGTCTTTTCTTGGGAACAGTAAGACATTAGGTTAGTGTCCTTTCAACTTGACCTTGTAATTAGTTTAAGTAAACAATCCAAAACATGACATTTTCGGGGATTTCAGGACTTACTGCCTCTTTAATATTATGCTAATTTTGTCGTGCAGTAACAAATGTTAACCCTAAACTCCCCAACTTCATCAAAATCCATCCTTCCATTTCAGTGGATATTGGAAGACTTGGTCCTGCAGGCTTGGTTTGACTAAATGTTGATGGAGTATGATGGACTTGGGCCTGACGGCCTGAAGCAGTGCTAGGGGAATCCGCTTGAATATTGCCTAGCATCCTGTACTGCTGTTGTCATATAGCCATGTGTACTAAGTCCACCAGTACTTCATCAGTGGTGGATTCCATTACATGTACGTCATGTATTGGAAGCAGATTGAGTGATGTATTTTTGCCAACTTGGTCCTCTACTTAAGACAGTTGGTAGTTAGGGTTATGACAAAAACAAAGTCATAGTGATGTCCCTTTGCACAAAAGACACATTTTGTACACTCTTTGTACACATCAAGATGCATGATGATTGGATCATGCAATGTGTGTGTTTCAAAGAGTCAAATTCTAACCAAATTACCTTTCTGTATGGGAGCAGAATTTTGTTTTGGTGTTGAGGGTGGGGGTTTTGCTTTGTTTTGTATTTTTATTTTATTTTTTAATGGGGGGGGGGGAGACATATAGGTACATGTACTGTCTGTATCTGGTAAATAAGGTGACATTCACAAAGCGTATACATAAATAGCACAACATTGAAAAACCACAGGCACATAACACTAGCTAATTGTAAAGCTTACTCTCTTTTCCATGCAAATTAATGGCCAGCATGAATAGACAAAGTAGAAAAATAGACAAGAAATGGCAGCCTATTAGTCATTTTCATGTGGAAAAACTGCTCTTAAAACAATAAAAAAAAATTATAATAAATATCACATGCACAGCACAGTCGACTCCTGTTAGTACAAGATCCACGGGACTTACGTGTAATCAAAATGTGTGTTGTATCCAAATTTCGTATAATCCGATGCAATAGTTTCCAAAACATTGTTCACCATTGTGTAAGCCCTATGAACGTGCATGATGTTCACGTGCGTAATCAACACAAAATAGAAAATCGTATCGGGTATGTAGTATTATCAAACAAAATAAAAAAACCCAAACTATGGTGTTTGGTTGTCCACGAGGGGACTACTTACCTGTTGGACCTACAAATGCACATTTCCTTAACTATGTAAATTAACCGCTAAAGTAAAGATTTGCTATAGCGTGCCACAGCACCCTCCTGCGCCAGCGCCCACAATAATCAGAGCCCCCGCCATTATCGTCCTCTTTCTTTAGCGCGAGTGAATCACACCAAAGGAGGAGCCCACTGTGGGGAAAGGCGGGCGGGACGGTCCAACAGGTAAGTAGTCCCCTCGTGGAC